GATAGGGTTTTGGTTTCTAAATATATATCATGAATTTGGGATTGGGCAGAGATAAATATATTAGCAATTTTATGATAAGATTGATCAATGAAGTTAATAGTAGTTTTTCATTTTTTAAAAAGCTGTTCAACTTGTAACATTATTAAACCTGCAAATATGGAGCAAGGCTAAGATGCCAACAGCCCATTGTTCAGTCCCATTATTTTCAGGATTAGAAATCTGTACTCTTTGTCAGGAATGGATGCCTTCACCTAGCAGGAATTTAGATTTCTTCTTGTTTGGCAGGGCCTACTCCAGAAACAGGGGAACACTTTTAAAAAGTATTAGGAGTAGATTAGAAACAGATGGTCATTCAACACCTACATAAAATGTTCTATGGGATAAAATGTGAATAACTGGGTTTGATTTAACAAAGGATCAAACTTAAAATATCAGGATTCATGAAAAACCAAACTTACTTTGCAATTTAAGAGGAATACAAATCAGATAATTAGAATCAAGAGTAAAGAGTTTGGGCTTCCCTGGTGGCGCAGTGGTTGAGAGTCCTCCTGCCGATGCAGGGGACACAGGTTCGTGCCCCGGTCCGGGAAGATCCCACACGCCACGGAACGGCTGGGCACGTGAGCCATGGCCACTGAGCCTGCGCGTCCGGAGCCTGTGCTCTGCAAAGGGAGAGGCCACGACAGTGAGAGGCCGGCGTACCACCAAAAAAAAAAAAAAAAAAGAGTAAAGAGTTTTACTTATACTGGTTTTTTTTCTCCTTATATACTTAGTGATATAAGTAATTGTTACCTGGTTTCTGCCTCATGATTTTTGTTTTCTGTATCCATATATTCCTTTCCCTGTCAGGGAGATATGTGTGGATTTGTGTTTACACCACTGTCCAGCACCTTTTTGAAGATTTTTAATGTTTTATGTGATATATTTCATCTTTAGAATTTTGGGTGGATCTAGATTTAGAAAAGTGTTTTGGTTGGAGTGATGAGGCTCTGGATGTCAGCAGGCTTTAGGGTTGGAAAAGTTGAAGCTTACGGGGAGAGCAAATAAACACAGTCATCAAAGCTGGGAATTAAGATTTGTTTATTCACCTGCACACTTGAATTAAATCTCATAGAAATAGGCAGAGCCATTTGACTTATTAAGATCCTGACAAAATAAATTACTCTAGTCATGCTTAGAGGTCTATTTTTGCCTGGCTTTAGATACAGAGATTGGTGTAGTCACCATATAACGGATGAAGAAGTTCTTGTTGAATTAAGCTGTTGACGTACAACATAGAGGTGACTAGGATAGTTGACACTGGACAATGGTTAATTAAACCAAAAAGTCCATTTGAGGTTTGGGGCACAAAGCTTCAAATTGCCAAAATTACATGTGTTCTTGTCCTTCAGTATTGAGGAGCACGGTTGAAGAAGATTGGGGGAAGGGAAAGAGAGAGCACTTAGGTTGGGTGTGGCTCACATCACTTTTGTTTTAAGAGAATTCCTCCTGTGTAGGGTTATAAAGATATCTAAGATATGGACTCAGGTAAGTATTCCCTATTTCATTTTCATTGTCAGTTAAGGTTCAAGTAAATAAAGCAATGCTTTATTGATTTTAAGAATACCTTTTAAAAAATGTAGAGTACAATTTGTTGACTCTGAAATCTTTGTGGTCAGGATGAAAGTTGGCTTCTGATACATAAAACAAAACAAAAAGCCTTTAATTTATGATGATTCTCTTAGCTCTGTAATTCTCTTTTCTCCATACTTCTTTCTACAGAGTGTGATTTATAGTGATAAAGAGCTCTTGGTTTAACTTTTGAACTGAAAGTAAGTATAGCTTCAGTTTTACTTTGTGATGACTGTGGTACAGAGAACCTTCTCCTTAAACCATTTTGCTATGTATGTAAATCTTCCAAATTCTCCTTTTACTTATGAAACTATGTTTGGGATTTGGACAACCTTGATCGTACCTTTTCATATTTGTAGTTAAGTTGCAGAGCAGAAGGCAGCCAGTGAACTGTTCTTAGATGTGCTGCAGAGGACCCTGCAGTGTGGGGCTGCCTTTGATGCAGCTCCAGCCAGCAGCTCCTGCCCTTGCCTTAGTCTCCTGGTTGCTCCTACATAAGGACTTTTTCTTTCACAAGAGAGTCATAAATTTCTTCCCCAAATATCATGCCAGAGGGTCTTTGTGCTTAAGGTGGGTTATGTTCTTAGGCAGCCCTGAAAATTAAAATGTGTTGGGTTCTCCCCAGTCACCACTTCCTCTGCCAAAGCCATTTCATCCATCATACAGCTGCTGAGTCTTCCTAGTTCTGTCCTTTTCATCCCGTGTTCTGCACCCTACCCACCCCACTCTCAGTTTTTTACCCCTTCCTTACACAAAAGTTTGTCTGTATCCCAGTTTTTGAAACTTACATACTCACTCCTTACAACCTGCTCAGGACACTAATAACAAAATGGGAGAATAAAACCTCTTCAGAAGGCAGCTGGGGAAATTGTAAATAGTCTAACCTTATTTCCAGTTGGCTATGTGAAAATGCTTTATAAGTCATAATTATTTCATGAGAGTAAGGGATAACAGAAGTCCTGTGATGAAAATAAAAGCAGAAGAGCTGAGCCAACAGTAGAACGCAGAGAGAGGTACGTGGGGAGTTGGGGCACTATAACTGTCTAAGTGAGAAGTAATAAGGGCCTGACTTATGAGAAGATTAGTGGAAATTACAAGAGTGAGGGCTGGAATTAAATCTTTAGAAGGAGACATTCTCATTCGTCTAGAAGAGGAAGAAAACTTTCAGTAATGACCCAGCTACAGGAGTTGGGAGGACAAGAGACTGAGAATGAGGTCTTGAATTGAGGATCTGAAAACCAATTGTGGTCTTCATAAAAGTAGTGTTGGGGATAATTACATGGGTGGGGATGGTAGGTTGAGGCTGCAGATAAAACTGACACTTCCAAGAAATATGAGTGATATTGGTCTGATTCATTGATATGAGAAGATGCTCACAACTTGATTGAAATTGAGCAAGTTATCATACTTCATGTAAAGTCTGATCACAGTTATGAAAAATACCAATTACATATTATAAATACTGTATATGCGTACATATATAAAGGAGTATCTGGAAAGTTTGCCAAAATTTTATTAGGAATTCTATCTGAGGAGGTGACTTTTAATCTGAATTGATTCTTTTTTGCTCCACAATTGCAGGTTTAAGAAAATAAGGTGGTAAATAAGAAATTAGTTGGGAAGCATAGATAGCTTTGTAAGCAAGAGAAAGTCTCTAACATAGATTCACTATGTAAATAAAAGCAGTTTTGAACAGTTGATAGAACAAAGTCCTGGAATAAGTGGGAAGAAGTAGATCTTAATGCCCAACTCAGAGGGTCATCTTGACCATGATTTCTGGTCCTGAGTGTCTTGGTTCTTCTTTGGCCCCTTCTCCGAAAGGTTAGACTAAGCTCTTGTTTGGGAATCTCTCTGGAAGAGAGGCTGCAAGAACAAGTCAGGGAGCCCAGAAGTGGGGAGAGCATGTTGTGGAACTGAAACCTATGTAGATCTGCTGCAAGTAGTTGTAAATATATTGGATGTTAAATCATTATAAATAAGGACTGGTGTGGTATACAATGTACTTTGTTGTACAGCTGCTAGTCTGAATACTGTCGGCTTGGTATTAATTTTATATGCAATAAAGATTATATGTAGGGCAAATAGGATGTAGTCTCAAAGCAGAAAGTTTCAATAATTGATGAATTTTCTGTTCCTTGTCTTATTTCTTTTGTGGGTTAACTCAATAAAATGAAGTCAGTGTGGCCTTAAGCTTATGACCTTACATGAACTTTTTATACTTTAGAAATTATACTAGGATTTCAGATTTTATCATTTCTGAATTTTATACCGGGGCTAGAAACGGAATTTGTTTTCTTTTAAATTACCATTTTTGTCACTAGCTGTAGTGAACTTCATAAGGTTCATATATTTCAGATACTGTTTTTTCTTACATGCTTCCTACCTTTTTAATATTTATATCTTGTTTTGTGCCACAGTTCTTTAAGCCTGTTTTCTAGTTAAGTCCCTCTCCCAGTCTACCATTCAACTTGCCCTTAGAATTTTTTTCAGTTTTAGAATTTTAATTTTTCTAATTTGCCCATTTTATGATACTGCTTCTTCCCATGTGATTTCTAGTCATTTCATCTCTTCAAATACTCTAAAGATACTCATTTTAAAGTCATTTTCAGATGGTTCTGTTATTTCTGATTCTTTAGGTATGAAATCTCTTACTCAGACTGACTCTTCCTCATTGAGGTTTGCTTGCACATGTGATTTGTTCATTTTGATGTTAAGGTGGTTTTCCATGAAAGTCCCAGGTTGTAGTCCCAGGCTCAGGATTGTAGAAAATTTCTGTAGGGTTGTTTCATACTTTTCTCTTTGTGGATTTTGCTGGATCTGGGCAAGTTTTTAATGTTAACCTCTTGACTTGGGGACCCCATACTACATTGATGATTTAAACTTGGATACCACACTTGGAAGTCTCATAGATTTGGGGTAGCTTTCTCTCGTGGGTTATATTTTTCTCTCCTGTGCTCACGTCCTCCATGCCCCAATCCAGGGTTGGAAACCTCTTCTCTGGCCAGCTGGAGTGGGGGCTTCTAGTGCTTGTTCCATGGACACACGAGCCTTTACGACTCCAGTCTCCATAGAGACAAGCATCAGCTCTTTACATGCGTATTTCTTTTCTTTTTTATATTGAAGTATAGTTGATTTATGATAGTGTGTTAGTTTCAAGTTTATAGCAACGTGATTCTACATGCATATTTCTTGATCTGGACTGAGGACCCTGCCCTGAGGTCTGCCTCTGTCTGCTCTAGCATCTCCATAAGCCATTCAGTTTGAGCTTCCAGCCTCAACTCTGTCTCTGGGTTTCCTCTTTGTTTCTAAGTTTGGTTGTGTATGAACCATTGTTTTTTGGAGGGTGGCAGAGGTTATTTTGTTTAGCATTTCTATGTGATTAAAGTAAAAGGACAAGAGACACTTGTCTTTTCAGCATGTTGCATTGACCAGAAGTCTGATCATATTCATATTTAAATGGATTTTGTCTTTTCTCTTTTACAGCTAGTTATGTATCAAATCCCATTTGCAAGGGATGCTTGTCTTGTTCAAAGGACAATGGGTGCAGCCGATGTCAACAGAAGTTATTCTTCTTTCTTCGAAGAGAAGGCATGCGCCAGTATGGAGAGTGCCTGCATTCCTGCCCATCCGGGTACTATGGACACCGAGCCCCAGATATGAACAGATGTGCAAGTGAGCAGTCAACTTTTGTCCACCCTATTTTATTGTTTCTGCAACTTAGGGGGAGTTAAGTTGAAAATTTTGATTAAGAAAGAGTACAATTTTATTATGCTACAGAAATAGTTTAAGCTTAAACTTAAAAAAAAATAAGTGAGGTGGTGTAAGAACACTTTTACTTTATCTCTTGTATAGAAGTATATTGTATACACACACTTTTTTTTAAAGATTACCTAAGTATTTTTTCATAGCATGTATCTTAAACACAAGCATGGTAGGCAGATCTTTGTAAGGCGTACTCAGCACTTATCAATAAATAAAGGGATTTAAATACCTTTATATTGAAAACATCCTCTTGAGCTTACCACAGTGTCTATAGCTTCTTTTTCTCTTATACTTGAGTTTGTGATACTTGAATTAGTCTAATCTGTAATTTAATACATGAATTTAAAGCACCACTGCTGATAAAAGGTATAACTAAAATATAGTTTACTTCAAAGTATTCTAAGTTTAGCAACCACAAAAAGGTTATTAGGGAATGGCATTCTATACATAGGAATACAAGTACAATTTTTTACCTTTTAGTCCAAAAAGTCACTTCTCATTATAGAATTATTCTTAACTTCTGGGTAAATGGTAAAAATTGGACTTTAAAAAAATGAGTAAGATACCAAAGGAATATCCCCCTTTTTAAGGAGCTCAAATTTTAGGGGATAGAAGGAGAAAAAAGGGGAACATGGAGTGAAATGACAGATGGGTAAGCTGTTTAATCATAATTCAATACACTAAGTACTAGATCAGCAGGCAACTTGTATGTTATGGGAGTGATTTAATTATCTCCAATTAACACACTGTGTGCATGACTATTAAATCAGCTGAGGTCTTTAGGTAAGAAGAGACTTTGAATTTTATCATCCAAGGGCAATGTTATTTTGAAAGAAGGCAGAACTACTAGAGGAAGGTTATATAGAATCTGGGAAGAAGAAGGGACACGTTTGTAAAAATAATGTGTTTGGGAAACAAGAAGTCTCCTTTGGGGATGCTGTTGGCATCTTGGCAAGGCTACTTGGCCTGCATTGCCGGACATTTAACATTCTTAGTCCTTGCTCGGTAAATCTTCTTCATTCCCCCAAATCACCGTGACAATAAAAAATGTCCCTAAAAATTTCCAGACACCTCCCAGGGGAACAGTACCATCCCTGGAGAACCATTGAGTAGTAGCTGCTTAGTGTGAGGTGTGGTTGGAATTGAAGATGAAAAGGGAGGCTTGAGTGCAAATGATAAAAGTCTTGAGTGCAATGTTAAGAAGTCTGGATGTTATCTGAGGGTTCTGAGCAGACAGTGAATTAAAGCAATTGCTTTATTTAAGATAATTCTTGCAGAAGTGCAGGAAATGAATTGGAGAAGTCTATTGTAACAATTGCAGATGAGAAATTGTGTTCTGATGAAAGGTTTTTGGGTAATGAATTCCAGAGACGTTTAAAATAGAATCAATGAGACTTAGTAACTAACTAATTTCACAGAATAAAGAGAGAATCAAATTTGATACTAAGGTTTCTAGCTAAGGTGACTAGGTGAATAGTTTTGCCATTAGGAAGATAGAAACATATGGATTTAGAGGAGATTTGTATGGACTTCCATTTTATGGAATTGTTGGGATTAATAACTAGAGGGGTATGGCTCCCCCAGAGTATCAATAGATTGGCCATTTTTTTCAAATATGTACCTTATCCTTAAGGTGTATGATTTGGGCTAGCTAGTAATGTCTATCCTCATAGTTTTTGAACCTTCATAGGAGGATGTGTCCATCTTGAAATGGATTCCTGTTCAGATTGCTTTAGACCACCTATGGGGGGGTGGATTTGGGTCCATGAATATTCTGTGTGTTTTTTATTCCAGACTATCAGTGCACAAGGAAGATAAGAGTGTAGATAGCTCCAGGCATTTATTCCAAGTTCTATGCCTAGCACTCTACACACTGTGTATGGACAATAGGGTGACCATATAATTTATTACTCTACCTGGGACATTGGGGATTGAAAGTGGCTGCTGTTAATAACTATGCAGGGACATTGGGTGTAAAGAAGGGCTGTCCTGGGCAAACTGGAATGGGTGGTCATTCAGCAGTACCTCATAGTCTTATCAACAGGGTCTTCCTTAGAGAGATACCCCAAGCCAGGGCTTAACACAAACATTTTGGTTAAGTTGATCCCTTTTCCCAGAAATGGAGAGGAGAGCAATGACTGTAAATCAGCCTTGGAAAGAGAATCTACACGTGAAAATGGGTTTGCTATGGCTATACTTATTGTAAGTGAATGCAATCGATGTTGCAGTTTACTGACCTAGAAATCATTACTTATCTGGTACAAGCGGGAAGTGCTTATTAACAAGGCTCCTGTGAAGCAAAGTGAAAGTGGAAAATTATTTCTTAATTCTCAGTATATGACTTCAGATGATTATGGTTCATTCTTAGTAATATTGGCTCTTTTTCATAGATGCTTAAAATATATTGCATTGTTATTTGTATTCCATACAGAGAATGAGACAGATTTAAATTGGAAAAGCTGTCACAAACTTAGAATTTGAAATCATATTGACTTTTTGTTTTAGAAGATTAATGCTAGACAGTAGAGAAGATTATACTTCAAGCAACAGTAGCTTTAAAAAATCCTCTAAGTGAAACTTGCTCATCTATTTCCTAATCACTAAAGTAAGATTTCATTGTAAAGAAAAACCTCTCTTCCAAAGAAAGACTTGCTCTATAGAATATTGGCTGAGGTTGGCTTCTTGGTCCATACAGTGTGGATCTTATAAAATTCAAACATGCTTATTAAAAACCAATTCAATAATCATTTGCGGCATAGTGTGGAAAAAAACATACTACAACACTGAGTTGCCATTGTCTCTGATACTGTTAGGTGAGATTTCTCTCATATTTTCTTTCTCATTCATTGATAAACTCATTTACATGAAAAAGCTTAATTTAAAAAATTGCTGTACATATTCCTTGCAGAAAGCTTGAAAAGTACATAGAACTTTAAAAAAATAAAAAGCAGAAACAAAAATAAATACTACTCAGAGATAACAAAAGTCAACATTTTGGCTTCTATTTTTTTTTTTATAATCACACCTGTATATATATACAATAATATTTATTGCTCAGACTAACATTTAAATTTAGCTAGGAATTATAATTTTCTCTAGATAATTTTAAAATTTTTATTGGGGTAGAGTTGATTTACAGTGTTGTGTTACTTTCAGGTGTACAGCAAAGTGATTCAGTTATACATACATATCTATTTCTTCAGATTCTTTTCCCTTATAGGTTATTACAAAATACTGAGTATAGTTCCCTGTGCTATACAGTAGGTCCTTATTGGTTATCTACTTTATATATTAGCGTGTATATGTTCATCCCAAACTCATAATTTATTCCTTCCCACCCTTTTCCCTTTGGTAACCGTAAGTTTGTTTTCTAGGTCTGTGGGTCTATTTCTGTTTTGTATATAATTTCATTTGTATCTTTTTTTTTTTTTTTTTACATTCCACACATAAGTGATATCATATGATATTTGTCTGGCTTACTTCACTCAGTACGACCATCTCTAGGTCCATCCATGCAAATGGCATTATTTTGCTCTTTTTTATGGCTAAGTAATATTCTGGCTTCTATTCTTGACATTTTGTTTCTGTGCATATTTATGTCTTTCTTTCCTTACAAATGAGTCATCATTCTGTTTTGTAACGTTTTAATTTAATGAATTATGAACATTTTTTCATGTCATTAATTATGACTGCTTGTTTTCTACTGAATGGATATACCATAATAATCTAGCTAATTATCTGTTGAAAATTTGCTTTTAGTTTTCACCACTGTAAGCAGTTATATGAAGAATTTCCTTGTATATAGATTCTTTTGCTTATACACACATGTATAGTTTTACACGTTTTTTCTGATTTATTTTCATAAGATAAGCTTTTAAACATAGCATATTTTTCCAGCTTTACTGAGATATAATTGAGATACAAGCATAAAATATATTTTAAAGACTTTTGATATATATCACCAAATGGCCTTCTGGGAAAGTTGTACTCATTCACGTCTTTACTAATAGCAGACATTTTCCCTTGCATCTCACCAGCACTGGGTATTAGTGACAAAAAGGATAAAATGCATCTTTTTTTGTTTTAATATGCTTTTCTTTGATACAAATGAAGGCAAACATTTATTTTTCTCATGAATATTGGCATTGCAGAATATTTACCAGAATCCTTGGTCTTCTTTTTTCCTCTAATTGCACAACTATTTTCTTAGTAACATAAATAAAAACCTTCAAGTGAAGGATAACACAGAATATGCTCACAGATCATAAACGGAGCGTTCAATGAATTATCACAAAGTGGACACACGTATGTTACCATCACTCAAGAAGAAATGTTAACAGTACCCCAAGAACCCTCATTATATCCTTCCCAATCACTCCCATTTCTCCTTCAACAAAACTGCTATCCTGACTTGTAACCAAAACCATATAAAAGATTATTCATGATGACACTAATCATACTAGCTACAAATTGGAAACAACTCAAATGTCCAAACAATAGAGTATTTAAAAAAGTATATATAGAAGTAGAGATGAACTACTGTAACATGAAGCATCATAAATAAAGCTCACAATATAATATTGGGTGAAAGAGGCTATAAAATAATATTTACATACTTTTCGAAAATATGTAAAATTAATCTATGGTGCTAGATGGCAGGATTGTGGTTTTTACTGATGTGCATTTATTGAACACCTACTATGTGCTGACTTTGGTACTAGATACCTGAAGATACAATAATGAGTAATAACTAGTTTCTGTCCTTGAGTTGCTTATGGCATAGTGCAGTGACATTCTACCAGGGGTGATTTTGCCCATTAGGGAACACTTTAGTAGTGTTTGGAGACATTTTGGTTAATACAAGTGGAGGGGTGCTACTGGTATCTGGTAGACAAAGGCCATGGGTACTA